CTCGAACCCAATTTAAAGCACCATTAGACATTTATTTATGCGAATCCTCGCGCTGGCAAGCATACTGCCCCGCGCTGAGAACATAAAGAGCAGTGCTACACCCTTTTTTCACTTGTGCCTTTCAGGTGAACGACAGCCACTGACTGACAAGAACAAAACCGACCCGGGAAACTTGGGCAAAATCCTCGATTCTGTATCAGTCCGTGAATCCGTGAATCTCAAGGTCCAAGGCTCAAGGACGCGGCGGGCTTTCTGTGGCCGATCATTCGATTTTGATCGAAAGATGACGTAAGTTGTTGGTTAACACTGAGTCCGTATAGAATGTTTCGGTTATCCTCGAATAGAGCAGCTTTTCAGCCCTTCCGGGTTTATGCGGCAGAATTCAACGGTCAGGATGGTATAGTTTTGCTTTGACATGCAAGGTCACCATTGTTGGTTCATTAACTTAGTGTGTTTGTGCTGCTGTACCGTCATATGTTATCCGCTTGTTCTGTAATGTGTGAGCATTTATACGAGAAGAGAACTCTGTTCAGCCTTTCAGTCAAGCCCAGATCGTTCACACATGTTGAGTTGTACATGCGCACTCCTGACACGATATTCTCAGAAAGAATTGGCAGTCTCTGAAATAAATTACCTTAGGTTGTCAACACTACGTGCGTCACTACATCTAAATTTCGGTTTGATGACTGCAGTTAGGTTGACCAGAGCGGAATGATGAAATGTTGTTTCTCCTCAATTACAATAAATTAGCATCATTGCTTCTAATAACACCTCTGTGGCCACTATTACTTCTGTTTCCAGGGATATCCATTCAGAAGTCTTCTCCAATCTTACCTTCTGCTGCTGATGTGACCCGAATTCAACTATCAGCTTTTTCTTGGTACTTGGTACTTAACCGAGCCCACATATCCTCGTACACAGATGCATTTTCAAATAGGAAAGTGCTCCTACCTTTAAGTGTGTATTGAAATGGGTGGGCAATGTCCCGACCTCGCCGCATCATTCTGGAAACTAAGTTCCTCTGAGTCTGGTATCTTGTGGTCAAATACCTATCGACAGAAGAGAACCTGTTTGATAAACATCACCCATGTCAGTAGAACATGACAGTAGTTCTATAACAATTTCTGCTGTGGTCGGGCTGCATACAGCGTAGTGGTTAAAGAACCAGCTCACGGACCGGAACATCCGTGGTTCGAATCCAACCTTAGCATTCCGACTGCTCCTGTATAGGCTTGGGCAACCAGGCAATATCCCAGCCGTCGTGCCGCCTCCTGTTGGCATAACAGCAAGCGTCGAAATGGTGCCACAGCTGAAAACTGTCTTTCCGCAATGTGATTGAAGGATTAATTTGACCTCCTGGTTGCACTTGACAGGGTACGGCACGGCCAAATTATCGGCAAACATGTCGCCACTTTTCTTTTCCCTCACCGCCACTAGCTCCTGTAGTGGAATGAGACGGCTCTGATAATCCCTCTAATTGGCGCTTCCTGTGAGAGACCTGACAGTGAAGTGTCCGCACAGGAGTATGCAGTTCTAATTCCAACCCCAAATTCCGTGAAGAACGTGAAGGCCGAAGGGTTTAACGTCATCCTTACAGGTGGATATCCCGGATCTCTCTTAGCTCCTCCCCCTCCCCAAACCGGTAGTACTGGCCGGTGACAATCAAAATCGTGTCGGATTTACGCAGAACGTCTCCCAAATCATTGCAAGTACCAATCTTGGGGTATTTTCGTGAGACGTAGAATATCCAAGTAGCTTCACCTAATAGGTCCGTCTAACAAATCTGCTCGTTCTTTTTTTGAAAGTGCGCTGTAGACAGCAGTTTTCGAATATTTCAACTTCTTTGAGGTCGTTTATTTTAAGAGACCAGTTCACACACATATGTTGGTAAAAGATTAATTGGAGCGAAGCCTGGTTTGGGGTGATTTCTGGTCTGTGTGTGAAATCGCTCGGCGGTATGTAGCGCTTCCAAATGTTATTTATATGTACAGCAATTCTTCCGACTTTCCATTGTGTAAAGTGGCAAAATCAGTTGAGAGAACTGACTTGATCGTTCGCCCCTCCGTTGATGGATAATAGGTTGGTCTATAAATTCATTATTATGCGTTATAGGAACTCACATCTATTTAACAACCGGAGTGCACTAACGTGGCTCAGGGAGCAGAACTTAGTTGGACCCCAGGTAAAGCTTAATTAAAACGTGTTCAGTTATCCGACCGGTCGCACATCGACATATATCTCCTTACTGTAAACCCCAAAATAGAAATATATATCCGGGCAGAATACTGTGAATACGGATAGCGGCACATCAGATACAGCTCAGAATCGTCCGCGGCGATTTTTGTAGTGAGATAAACGCTGCTCGGAGGCCGGTGAAACAGACTAATGGGTTGTGGGATTTAACGTAATGTTCGAGTATCCGACACTGAGCGCACGTTTGATGGGTCCCGCTTCCCCAGTTTAGTTTAACGAAGAAACAGGATATTATCTTGCTGTGACAGCTTGCGCACCCCCATAATCCACTGAACCAAACCGGGTAGTGTACATATACACTTATTTGACAGCCACTTGTATCAGGTCAACCAATGAGCAGAAGTACGACTAACGTAGTCCCTTGGTCTTTCCCTTTGGCGTTTGAAACATGTACGGCAACTTGTTTCTTAAAATGTAGACAGCTGTGGCGGTCTAACGCCAACGGTCGCTGACTTGGTTTAGGAACTTAGTCGTCATCATACCCGGACCGGGGCGTCTTGGTGTTATCTAAACCCACGTACAACCGCAAAATTGCACGGATGGAAATTTATGTGCAGTTCATGGTTGTACGTGGGCTGGGATACTGCCAGGGCGCCCACACCTAGACAGGAGAACGATTAGGGTCCTCAACCAAAGCCTTGGGTTCAAAAGCCTGACCGCAAGGCAGCGGTGTTCAGCTGGGAATGCAAGTACATTGCCATTTTTTACGGAACACGTTGCCATACATGTTCCAACCCCCAACCTGGAGGGCCAGCAGACTGTTCGTCGGACCTCTACCCATGGACCAACCTGGTATGAGAGACTCTGTGAGCATCGTGTGGATACTCTCCAGTATAGCTCAATGGGTCTCCGAGGTACACAAAGCGCCACACCACGGTAAGGTCCAGTCTCTTCGTGTGCGGTGAAGCAGTGAAGCATCAGTGGCAACGCTGATGTTGCTGTCTTTGATGATGAGGAGGATGACGGATGGAAATAATCCCATGTGACATCTGCCATTATGCGGTGCCGTCAGCCAGGTAACCATAATTATATACAGCACGGCGAGTAAGAGAACATACCCCCTCCTCGTTTATCCGTTCCTTTCTCCTCATATTGCTAGTGATATATTTGTAGGCCCACTCTTAGGGATTGATAGATTCACCCGCCGCCCGTTGTCGTCAGCTGCAATATATGTGCTCAACTCGGCCGTCATGACTGCAGACACTTCGAAATCATTCTCCAAACCGCGACTGTCAGTTCACTTCCGACCTATGCTTTCCAAAACAAGCTAGACAACGGGCTACTCTAGCGCCTCAATTCCTGTCGATATATGCCGCCTCCCTGATAGGGAATCCAAGTCGCAGTTGCGATTGTTGAACTGGCTTCCCATCGGTTTCTTGTTGTTCCCGGTTGGACTATTCTGGTAGTCCAAAAGATGCCTCGGCTAACTCTGCCAGGGTTGATGTGGTTCCAGGTCATTGAGCTGCCCGTCTGCGTTGATCTGCATGTGCTCCGTTTGACAAAGTCTGCGGAAACAGTGGTAATTGGTATATGTGTATTGTATCCGCCTACGTCCCAACAGGCTGTAGCTCTCTTACTCTTAATTACGGTTTTATGCGACGCTTTGGGCCTTTCTTTACGACGGGCCGAAAGCTCAGATGCTGGGGTTACCGAAGATGTCGCGTAATCGGTAGATTTAGCGCCGCTGAGGCTCAGTAACTTGGTCATTTCGGCCTGGAACAGAGGCGCATGGGCAACGTCGGATACCTGCCGGACCTATTTTCTAGCCATTGACCATTTCTATGCAATACTAGCACCAAAATCACTTGAAATCACTCGGTCACATGGTGCCTCACCACATGCGCACTAATCTCTAACGCAGCTGGACCTTGTCGCCATCGGTTACAAACGTCACGAATCCGTTGATGATTACCACTCGTTCTGGATCACCTATGCAGATTCCAGTCACGTTTGACACTGATACGATCATGCAAGACTCACTAACGGGCTCCAAATGCCTGTGGGGTTGAAGTGCTCCCCGGGCATTCGCTCACAGATATAGAGTACACTGACAGTATAGCTCTTCTTGGATCTGAAACCGTGGTAATGCAAACAATATGAAATAATCTAAATAATTCTGCCCCGTGGTTCGGCATGCGTTCCACACGTGTATAGTGTGAAGTGCTACTGCAAGACTGAGTGGGTTAGAACTCTAACCTCATGCTTGAGGAAGAGCCGCCTAAGGTAGTAAACACGTATTTTGTCTACGTATCACTCCCGGTGGTCTCGCAAAAGATGATATTTCCGTTCGGATTGGGAGGGCCAGAATAGCTTTTTTGAACCTGCTTCCCCTGTGATGTAGGCGTGAAATCAGCTTATCCGTCGAGGGTCAAGTTTACACTGCTGCGGTGCACCCCACCTTACTGAGAGATCAGAAACCTGGATGCTGCGCTCCAAGGACGTCAAAAGACTTTCAATGTTTAACCATCGATGTCTTCGGAGCATTGTCCGAGTTTGGTGGCAACACCGGATTAATAATTCTGAAGGTATGGTATGAATGGTATGTTGTTCGGGAGTACTCATTCACCCCCGATAGATGAACTGATCACACTGCATCGTTTGCGCTGGCTTGGCCACGTGCTGCTATGCCGGTCGACCGACTCCCCTGAAGGTTTTTTTTCGCACAACCATGGGCAGGGTGGGAACGAGCCAGAGGCGGTCAAACAATGACCTGGCAACGAAGCATGAAAGCCATCACCAGCTAACTCCGTTGCACTGGTCTTTGCCGTCTTCTCGGATGGGGACCCCGAGACGAGCCACATCAATTGTAAGAACCATAATCTCTAACGCAGCTGGACCTTGTCGCCATCGGTTACAAACGTCACGAATCCGTTGATGATTACCACTCGTTCTGGATCACCTATGCAGATTCCAGTCACGTTTGACACTGATACGATCATGCAAGACTCACTAACGGGCTCCAAATGCCTGTGGGGTTGAAGTGCTCCCCGGGCATTCGCTCACAGATATAGAGTACACTGACAGTATAGCTCTTCTTGGATCTGAAACCGTGGTAATGCAAACAATATCAAATAATCCAAATAATTCTGCCCCGTGGTTCGGCATGCGTTCCACACGTGTATAGTGTGAAGTGCTACTGCAAGACTGAGTGGGTTAGAACTCTAACCTCATGCTTGAGGAAGAGCCGCCTAAGGTAGTAAACACGTATTTTGTCTACGTATCACTCCCGGTGGTCTCGCAAAAGATGATATTTCCGTTCGGATTGGGAGGGCCAGAATAGCTTTTTTGAACCTGCTTCCCCTGTGATGTAGGCGTGAAATCAGCTTATCCGTCGAGGGTCAAGTTTACACTGCTGCGGTGCACCCCACCTTACTGAGAGATCAGAAACCTGGATGCTGCGCTCCAAGGACGTCAAAAGACTTTCAATGTTTAACCATCGATGTCTTCGGAGCATTGTCCGAGTTTGGTGGCAACACCGGATTAATAATTCTGAAGGTATGGTATGAATGGTATGTTGTTCGGGAGTACTCATTCACCCCCGATAGATGAACTGATCACACTGCATCGTTTGCGCTGGCTTGGCCACGTGCTGCTATGCCGGTCGACCGACTCCCCTGAAGGTTTTTTTTCGCACAACCATGGGCAGGGTGGGAACGAGCCAGAGGCGGTCAAACAATGACCTGGCAACGAAGCATGAAAGCCATCACCAGCTAACTCCGTTGCACTGGTCTTTGCCGTCTTCTCGGATGGGGACCCCGAGACGAGCCACATCAATTGTAAGAACCACCGCGCCCTCAATGGCACTCGTACATTCGAGCTATTGCCTTCAATGCGTAGCTTAGCTTCCTTCCCCCCACTTAACAGTCCACTGGCAATGCTGTATTTGCGCACCAGCTTAGCATCTTCCGCCTCCAATGCGCAACTACCTACCCCACCTCCCCAAATCATCGGTCAACGAAAGTGTGGCAGCTACAACCACTGAACAACAAGCACGCGCTCCTAAAAGCTCACAGTGATGGATGTTGACTCTAACTTTAGAAAGGCTACCCCCTTCCACGAGTGAGTTTACCTAACTAATCCCTGAAAAATAGCCATGAGTCCTAACAGCTGTGCAAGCAGAGAAAGACCCATATTTTTCGAAAACCATATTTGTATGATTCTGAAATACTTAGACTTACAAGTCAACGCTTACATGCTCACAAGTTGTTCGAAACCTGTTCAACCTAGTCAAGCTAGATTAACACTTATCCATAAATCAAAACCATAAGTAGATTAGTACCATTCGGGAAATATTAAGCTTCATTCAATGGGCTTACCGGCTGGAAAGTTAAAATATGACTTCTCCGTTCAGAAGGAAGGACACTGAAGTTACTTGGATGCGATTACTCCAGAAACCAACCAACATCAAGTCACGTAACGTGAATGAGTGGGTGGTAGAAGGATGGACAGATTGATGTCCGGTCCAAACAAACTCAGTCACACAACTGCCTAGCAAGCCGAAGCTGAGTGGCGAAGCACCTCACACGGCACAGTAACGAATGACTGAGTGTCACGTTCGTTCGGTTAACGAACCCAGCATGGCACCCAACCCACTTCAGGAAGGTGAACAACGAACTGCGAGTGCTAGACTCATGAGTAGATGTGCAAACATACCGCTGGCTTAACAGACAGATGAGAAACCAAATAACACGTGATCTACCCAGCTAAGCAGATGAAGTCCACATAGTGACGTCGGTCAGGCGATCAAGACCCCGCACTACGAGTAATCGTTGTACGAGCCGGTCTGGGGGTAAAGTCGTACTGTCCTCTGCGACAGGAGTGTGAAGGCAGTAAGGTGTTCCCCCCAGGCGACCAGCTTGTCCATATTTATGGAAGCAGCGATGCTGCCTTCCCCCGAGGAAGGACGGGTTAGAAAAGGTTGGTCCCAAAAACCGCACGCTCCGATCGCCCAACGGTTGACCGTGACCGCCGGCGCATTATCCAATACGATCGAAATACTTTTAAAGCCAAAGAGCCCGGTGCTGCTCCAAAGGCACGTGCTATGCGCGGCCGCATCAAGAATGAGACAGTAATGCCTTATACCCTGCGCCCTCGGGTAAGGCCAGCCCCCTCCAGCCGAGCAGGTCAGACTATTGAGTCGTCGGCTCCGGGCAGGGTCCCCAAAGAAAACCCTACATTCCCCCACTGCCTCGTGGGTCAGACTTTTGAGTCGGAGTCTAGGGTCATGGTCCCCGAACAAAACTCTACATTCGCCCACTGCCTCGTGGGTCAGACTTTTGGGTCAGAGGCTAGGGTCAGGGTCCCCGAACAAAACCCTACGTCCTCCCACTGCCTTGTGAGTCAGGCTTTTCAGTCGAAGGCTCAAGGTGGGGTACCTCAACCAAACCACCTTTCTCGACCTGGGCAACCGGGAGGTATCATTTGCCATCGCAGTTCGGCGTTCACCGATGTCCCTCCCCAACCCCTTCCCACCGTACAAGTAGGCGATCGATTTAGAATGGCAGGCGGAACGGGTCAAATGGCTTTCGCGCGTGATTCACTACATTCTACCAATAGGATACCCAGTAGGTTAAATAGTGTCCAAAAGGTTTTCCGTGATATTCACATCTTTGAGAAAATACTCCTTGTATTGCGGTTCGCCTCTAACCACTGACCAACCTGGTGTGAGAGACCGTGAATGTCACGGGGGCACTCCCCAGTATAGCTCAATGGATCGCTCAGGTGCGCAAACCGTCACAGAACGGTAAGGTTCAGTCTCTTTGTGGGTGTCCTCGATGGCGCTCGTGCATCTAAGCTGTTGCCTTCAATGCATAGCTCCCTTCCCAATACCTTCGCCTAAAAGCCCACTGACAGTCCTGTATTTACGCACTAATTTATAATCTCCCGCCTCCAATGTACAGCTATCTACGCTACCTCCCCAAATGATCGATGGACGACATCAATATACGACAAGTATGCGGTTCTTACAGTTGATGATGATAATGATGAAGATGATGATGACAAGGCCCGGTAGAAGCTCTCTGCAAGGAAAAAGGTCCTCCAGCGTGCGAAGCGCATTTTTTAACCAGGTTAACCTGTGAAGTGTAAATAGGTTACCCGTACGGGAGAGTTCATCTTCCCCAAAAAATTTCTAACCCACCTGAACATCGCTAATCCGATGTTCCCACCAGACGAGGCAATTTCTTCGGAGATATCGATGGTCAAACACCGGGAACTTTCGTACATCGTCCATATGTGTGCCAGGTTTCTGCTCCATAAAACAACGGATCACCCTCCAGCATTGTGTACTCTGTCCTTGATGAGTTGCAAGATCCGTAAGTGTCAGAGATTGACAACTGCTGCCCTGGGTTTCCCGACTAGAGAACTCATCTCGTATTTGGTAAATCCGCCAGAGCTTATAAAACTGTCAGGTAGATCAATTTGGTTTACAAGTATGGGGTTCGGGTCGAATGTCTTGTATCTCTGAAGGTTCTGAACGAAGGGTGGCATTATCGCCCGCGTACGCATTATAAGTGAGCGTCTCGGGAGCATTTCGATCTCTGCGGCTTCGCAAGAAGGCATAGAGATTCCAAGCAGTGCATCAATACCGAGTTCGAAGATGGTCAATGATAGGTTTGCTTTGCCTAGCACATAATGAACTCAGGCGACAGCTAGCTGTGTGCACGTACGCGCTCACAAGAGTTCGCATATAGTGCCCTCATAAGGAATGGAAATTTGAAGAGACACCTGATACCCAGGCACCATCCTAGCATTTGGCGGTCGGCAGAGTCGAAATCAGCCCTCAAAAAAAGCGATCATCGTGTTGTGTCTTGCGGGGGATACAGTGCGGCGACAGCCACAGTAAGAACGGAAAAGACTGAGGGCCCACAAGTTAGAATTCATCCATCCAAAACTTTGACAGTGAGTTGAAACGATAAAAAGTGATTTAGCAGTGAACGACGAAACGCTTTGTGAAAACAGAGCAATTATACAACAATCACCTCTAACAGAGGTAACTGCTCAACTCATAACTGAATAATGTCAGACCTCTGTTGCGCAAGAAATACGGTCGTGTCCCCTATTGTTCAGCCAACAGAACAATTCGGTATTCCATCTTTTAAAGCGAGGAGCTGGATAGTTCCGGCGTAATAAACGAATAATTGTTTGTCTGTGGTTGCAATTGTTCGGATGCTGGAGCGCATCTGCAGAAGGCACTAGGTGATGTAGGGAGATCGTTTCTTCCATGCCATCAGGGTGTCGAACGACCCATCGTTTGCCGAAGAAAGTGTTTCCCGTGTCCAAGTCAGGGGTGCAATCAAAGAGATAGTCCACCTTTGACATGGCATAAGGGTCTGAAGGAGAGTACGAAACTTTCTGGGTGCTGTCAGTGTGAATGGCCATCCAGGATGCAGTTGGAAGGTTGCGTGATTTGGCTGATAATCGATGCCAGTGGCGTTGTTGTTTCTACCCAGATTGTCAAAATGAGTGATTGGATGTGTAGGCACGTCGAAATGATTGTGGTAGGTTAAGACTAAGTCCCTTCTCCCTCCACTTTTATTCTTCACAATGAAGCTTTTAGCTAAACTATGGCTGTACGGCAGCGAACCACTACTCTTGATGGTATGTTGTTGATGACTGTCGCTGTCTGTTCTCCGAAAGCAACATCCGAACTCCCGAATTTGATTCAAACCTCAGATCTTTAGCCCAGTGGCGGGTCTCCTATTTCTCGGAACCCGGTTTTTTCGTAGGTTACGCTACCGGTTAGCCCAACATGGGACTCTCTAATTGAATTTAATTTCTATCGTTTGCCTTCTAGCGACTGTCACCCATAATAATATGTCAGAATCTAATCTGACAGACAATCTTCAACGCTCCCACTTCTCCAAGTTAATCCCAACTTCGTAGAATATGTAGGGTGGTGACAGGAGTGTTCCAAGCCGTTGTCCAGAGCTGCGATGATAGCTTTTTGACCTATAAGTTTTTTATGTATGCCCATGTTCTTCCGCAACTATCCCTAATCATCTGCGTTGCTTTCCCGTTTTCACAGGGAGAGCCCGGTAGCAACGGCAAAGGCGCATGTGATGCTGTACGACGCCGATGCCAGCACTTGGGTTCCCAGTGGCCCGCGACCTGGAGTGGCCAAAGTTCAGCTATACCACAACACTGCAACAAATGCCTACCGAGTGGTTGGATGGCGCCTTCAAGACCGTGAGGTGATTTGCTCCTGTTGTTCCACTATTTGTTTTCGGCTACTGACTAATCCTTTCACGATTCTGGTGTTTAATTCTCGAATAGCCTTGATGAGCTTGGGATGATTTTTAAATGGTTCTCTTGTTTAGTGAACCATTTTGGATAAATGGTTATCCAATGAAGTGATCCTGTAAAATCGGTGTGTCGGTGGTTCACATGACATTTCGACACATGGTAATTAAGTCGTATATATTTCCGTTTCCAGCTTATGGTAGTTAATTACCAGCATTTATTACTGGTCTGTTGTTATCAGTGATGATAATGACAGTATGAGCTAACTTTTGCAAATGATTAATGGTACCATACTTTAAATATCATTCTTTATGTCCATTCTAACGACGCATGTTATACTGTTATTGCCAGAGAGGAAATTAGTTCCTTTTTGCATCCCCCACATTCAAGCATCAGTAGTGATCCCCTACCATGTCTTGTATCGTCCCTAGCCAGAAGATACATAAAACCCATAAAGCATGACTCACACCGACAACCTCGGGCGTTTTGCAATCGTTTTCTTACCTTCCCATCAGGGTAAACATATATGTGCTATTCCGAATTAGACATGGACTGAAACCGTGATCTTCCCTGTTAGGAGGTTTTGTAATGCACTGTCTCAACGTTGGCTTTTACCGGTCACGCGCATGCACACTCACGGTAACTATTTCGCCTTTGTGTTGATATCGGCTAGTGCACTTGGTTAACCAGTTGCAACCCGTCTAAGCTATTTTTTACGTCAAACTTCCAATGGACTGATATGGTTATCTTCTTCTCTGTTTCTGATGTATTTGAAGACAGTCTTATCATCTAAGATGCTACCTCGGAGGAAAGATAGCTGTAAATGGTTCCCGTTCGTGAACTTATGAGAAAGAATTACATCCAACTTTCGCTGTTTGATTTTCGTAGCGCTAATCTTCTATGCTAGGAACGTTCCAAGGTAGGTGAGGATAAAGATCTCCAAACTGTAGCACTCCGGCACAAGCCCGACAACCACTCTGTTAGTGGTTAAATCTTACATCCGTGACCTTGGCCTCATCTCGCTGGCCACAAAGCCTAATTTACGCGGAGTTTTCATGGCCTTGTTTGATTCTAGCTTTCTTTTGGGTCTTAACCTCCCTTAGTAAGCAGTCTCTCAAAGTGAAAGCAGAGCGATTTCACTCGTGAATTGGGACTAGTGCACTTTTTTCAACCCAAACGAAAATTACCCCAGTTTTCGAACCCATGTGGTGCATAGCTACCATACTACCCAAAAGATGCCTGATGGCCAGGATACATTTAAATAGCTCAGGGGAATGATCGAAAAAGTGTTCCAAACTATGGATTTTGTGGCCAATAGTCCCTACCTTATCTTCTGAGTTGTTTCTAGCTAAATGTCTGTACATTTGACTCACACGTTGACAACGTGTGAGTCAAGCTTTAAAACACACCTTGTAGATAACCTGAGCGTGTTCACTTTCATCTCCGAGTACTCTAATTTGACCGGGCTAGTGCCCGCCACGTTGTTAGGTCCAACCATTCAACCTAGTTGGTTAGCGACCTCATCTAGTCCGCCGGATGCTCCTATGAATGAGTACAAGAAAAAAGCATGGTATGATAACAGCCGGTTGCTTATGGGGTGGTGTTTGTTGATGCAAAGTGTGTGACTCAACTTATCCACACATAGCGTACCTTTCCTGTGACATTACTTGCGTGAAATTCCGACCTGTTCTTTTTTCGGGAACTGATAGTCCCCAGCTTGTTTTTAGTGAAAAGAAAACATTGACCATGTATTATTGGTGAAATATATGTCGTATTGTGGTTTAGCTTACGGTCACTGCGCTATTCGCTGTGCAGTACGTATGAGCAGTCGCATACACTGACTGCTCCACTCATAGTGGCTGGATACATCTTCAAGTAACATAGTTGGAGGTTGCTAACGCTTGGGCTGCACACGTGCGTTTCGCAGTGACTTACGAAATACCAAATGTTCGCATTCTTTTGTCCTCTGTCTTTCGCGGTGGTCCACGTGTCCGGCATTAGCGGTTTTGGTGCATGATCGCATATTAATGGAAGCTTGCTGCACCATCGAGCCTTGCAGTCAGCCTTGTTCGGTATGGGTTGATCACACAACACTGGCAAAGTGCAATTTCGCATCACACGTCTTACCTATTTTGCATTTATGGCTCGATTCACATGACTGGACGCACTGCCATGCACACTGATGCTGGCCTAGGCGTTGTTTGTCCACATTCCATACTTGATGGTAGAACCACGCGCTCCAACTGATTGCCTGATTCGCTTATGTTTGTGTCCGTTACTGTGTTGACCAATCTACCGATTATTGCTGTTCGATTCCGGAAATGGATAGTTCGTAGGCAGAGGAAAACACTCATTCCTCTTATCTGAAATCTCAATTTACCAGACAACAGTCAGTTGAAAAAATTCTGCGCCGGGTTCTTCCATCAAATCGAAAAGTAGGGACATGTGGGTATGCCTGGTCAACAGCCACCCAAGAGGGGTGGCTTGTGTTGACCACACTTGTGTCCAACAGTTCTATTTTTTTAGCTGTCCTACCACTGAACCACTTCGAATCAAGGGTATTCACTGAAAATTTCACTCCAGGCTGAACTTTCTAACACATCTTTGAGTCATTAGAAAAACGCTCGCCGGTCGCTCGAGGCGATCCTTCTCCGTGATGAGGTCGACTGACGTCCATGGTCATCTTAATCCTTGTGCAAGGCGTTTCAGGAGATGTATGAGATACATAAAGAAGTGGAGAAATTCATGCGATGGCGACCGTGAAGCAGCTAAGGCTCACCAACCCACATACTAGATGTGTAAAAAGCTCCCTGCGTGCGACTAGTATTCAACACCTTAGAGCGCCTCTATCTTCGTGCTAGAAACAAAAATATCACATGGGAACACGTCTATCGACGAATAGTTGGGACGTTGTTTCTTCTTTTAGTCATCGGTCACGATTGTTCTTGCTAGCTCAAGTAAACCAACCATGTAGGGATCAGTTTGTGTGTGTGCGATTGTGTTTGGGTCCGCGCAGAGTACTGCGCATCAAAGAGGCGATTTCTATAAATACAGAAGGAGGATGGCCCCATAGCCAGAAATTGTGTAAGCATGGCAGTACGACGCTTATACGAGAATGAGCGGAGAACTCATTATATGCTGAACTGCACATATCAGCACAATTTCGAGTGCACCCTTGTTTTTTGGCATAACTCTATGGTGTGCAGATCCGCACCCTGAAGCACCAAATATGGCCACGAACAGACAGTGGACAAAAAAAGCTGGTTCAGCAATACACATGTCTCAGCTAAACAAGAACTGATTTGGATCACATCCCGTAAAGGAACCTTACTAGCCAATCTGGCTCAGAGCCCGTCGGGCTTGTGTGACCCAAAACCTGGTTTGATAGTTTATTTCAAACGAAAATGGCAATGTTCTGGTCAAAGTCCAGGCGTCAAATCCAAGCCCCACACAAAGCTATTGACAAGTGGTTATAGAGGTTCTCGGGGCGAGACGGCCCAAGTGGTTAGAGCGCGAATTCACTGACTGGAAGGTCCATGGTTCGAACCCTATCTCTGCCTCTCGACTTACCCCGTCTAGGCTTGGGCAACCTGGCAGTATCCCAGCCCGCGTGCAACCTTTGGGTGGGACCCTTCTGGGTCCCACTTTGTTGCCTCCAAACCTTGGTCCTGGCCCTCATGTATGCATATCAGGGATGGGGGCTTATGTCTTCCGATGGTCTTGTCACGTCCTTTCACTGGTGTGTTTTCATGCCGGTTCGTCCAACTTGTTACAGTCTGTGTGGTTGATTAGATGGCCACTTGACGATCGATTACTCGGTACACCAGCTGACCGGTCAACCAATACAACTATCCATCCGAACAGCTAATCATAGTTGGAGATCACAGAAGGCCAGCAGCATGTGTAATATAAAAAGCGCATCACCACTGACAATCCGCTACGTTACGCGTCACTGGACAGTCACCTCGATAGGTGCTAAAACGTTTGCAACCCCCTTGCCTGGCTCATAATGAACCAACTTTCATCTATACTACCCGAGTAACCAATGTTCGTCCTGCTAATAAACTCTGCTTCCAAAGCAAACTGCATCACAATGAGTACTTTCTCAATGTTGTGAACGCCACGGAAAACCTTTTGGACACTATTTAACCTACTGGGTATCCCATCGGTAGAATGTAGTGAATCACACGCGAGAGCCATTTGACCCGTTTCGTCTGCCATTCTAAATCGATCGCCTGACCGACGTCACTATGTAGACTTCATCTGCTTGGCTAGGTAGATCACGTGTAGTTTGGTTTCTCATCTGTCTGTTGAGCCAGCGGTATGTTTGCACATCTCCTCATGAGTCTAGCACTCGCAGTTCGTTGTTCACCTTCCTGAAGTGGGTTGGGTGCCATGCTGGGTTCGTTAACCGAACGAACGTGACACTCAGTCATTCGTTACTGTGCCGTGTGAGGTGCTTCGCCACTCAGCTTCGGCTTGCTAGGCAGTTGTGTGACTGAGTTTGTTTGGACCGGACATCAATCTGTCCATCCTTCTACCACCCACTCATTCACGTTACGTGACTTGATGTTGGTTGGTTTCTGGAGTAATCGCATCCAAGTAACTTCAGTGTCCTTCCTTCTGAACGGAGAAGTCATATTTTAACTTTCCAGCCGGTAAGCCCATTGAATGAAGCTTAATATTTCCCGAATGGTACTAATCTACTTATGGTTTTGATTTATGGATAAGTGTTAATCTAGCTTGACTAGGTTGAACAGGTTTCGAACAACTTGGGAGCATGTAAGCGGTGACTTGTAAGTCCGAGTATTTCCGTACATGTGGGTCTTCCCTCTGTTTGCACAGCTGTTGGGTCCTTCTTCAGCGATTACTTGGATAAACTCACTAGCGGAAGGCGATGGTCTTTCTTTAGGTCAGTTTATCCTACAGAAATCTTGCGGGGACTGTCCTGGGTTGTGGGCTCACTTTAGAAGGGTGATTATTTTGCCAGCAGTGTTCCATTTCACGCACCCGCAGGATTGGTCGGATGTGAGAAACCCTCTGAAATTGGCATACGCTTTGGCTTACGTTGTCGTCCGGTTTTGTCTGAGAGGGCCTACCCACTCCTAGATCGCCTCGTATTTCCGGTTAGGTAGTTCGTGCATTTTAATGGACGTGCCCTCTTGACTCTTTGTTCTGTCAATCATGTTATCGTGATCCACAAGGACGGGCCATTTTCGTTGCTTTATGCGTTGTCTACCATCTGTCTATCAATTTTACCGGTCAGTCTGATACTACTTGGCGAGCTATACTTGGTAGTTAACATCCCTGAGGATAGACAATATAGATAAATGGTTGAAGGCGCTGACTGTAATGAATCGGCCCTACAACCAGTAGCATTTGTGTATCGACGTCAATCTTACTCCCGTTCGATTGGACTGTCTGGTTACGTAGTTGCTGTTTGGAGTGCTCCTCGTTTCCTTCCTTTTGTCTTTATTATTATCGGTGAACATAACTGAAACGTAGCTGAAACAATCGTAGTAGTTTATTACCTGTTGCGATGAGCTGAGCTGGATTTTCACTCGCTCTCCCTACCTGTCCGCTCTCCAATACGACTGGTATTTTCTGTCATACAGTTAAAATTCCCTCCCTCCCTGTAATTGGTCTCAGTGTTTTTTGTGCGCTTTTTTTTGTTGCCTAAGTGGATCTGAGGGTCGGTCAACGCACCGTAACACAGCCTGAATGCTGCGTTCTTCCGCAATGCATGGCTAAGCTCATACAAATTCTAGAGGAATCCACTTAGTTACAGGCACGTGGGTGCGCACAACAGGGTTGCCTCCCATTCCTAACCCAATCCGATTGGATTAGGAATCTTGACTACTCGGATAAGTTTATCTCTAAAACTACCATGATGAACTACACTCATTTTCGAATAGCCACGCGGTAACAAGATGTTCAACTGGATCTCTTGGTTATACTGCACGAAGGCCATCCCTTGTTCCAGTTGGCGCATTGTTTGAGATATCGTAGTATATTTGTTTCACCAGACACACTACACGAAAGGTTGCCCACTACCTATTCGTCCCCTCTTGGAGCTCATCAGGTAGGCGTAGTCTCCGAGTTTTCACCTAACTTGTATTCCACTTGAACACGAAATTGTACGCGGTTGAAAAATGCACACTTGTGCGAATCGCTGGTGTTAGCGGGAAACCCTACTGAATCCCTCGTATACGATATTCTTTAACTTTACATCGTGCCAACGGAAGCACCAGGCGGTGAAACCGGTAATGGACTGTCGAAGACTTCCCAATACCCTTATAAGTAGTGTGTTCTGCTAGGCGTAATTTTGCTCATCTCTTGTCTTACAATCATTGTCAGCAAATTATTATGAGGTTATGGGTGGTATCTTTGTTCGCTCGATTCCAACATCACCGCAGTTCTGGTCGAATGGCCTCAGGTATTTTGCCTGCAGTGAGCTGAGTGTTATTCCGTAAGTCTTGACTAATTAGGTTGGCTTATGATTGAGGAATTGAACGTGTCCTGATAACCTAACTCACCAGACAGCAGTCGTAGGGTTAGAAAGCTTAAGTTCTTTTCGCCCACATGGACGTATCTGTTCATTATCTCAACATGGTAAGTGGAGTGGTTGAACCCCCAGGTATGTTGGTTCCATCATGTCAAGCATTTGACAGATTTAGAAGGAAACTCAGTGGCGTATGCAGCCTGGAATTGTTTTGTCGAGAAGAATTGAGGTCGGTTTACTCCCCCCCCCCCCCCCCCCCCCCCC